CTTTTTAAACATGCTTAGTTATTGCTCTTTCGTTTGAGGTATCATTTACCTAGCTAAGTATTAAACTTTTTAATTAGGGTACCTGAACCAGTTGAAGGTCGTAAATATGGATATTTGAAAAATTTAAAAAAAAGTAATTTAAATGAAATTCAGCTCAAAAACCTTTAAACGAAAATCCTAAAGCAATATGCGATATTATTTTTAGACTTACATGGAATAATAAGAAACTTAGCCCAACTTGAAAGAAGAGAAAACTGAACAAAGGCCGGTGCCGGTGGCATTTTACAACAAAGAATTTGACCTGAAGCTAGTCATTAATTGGAATGCATTCTGTTGTTATGATTTAGACCTTATGCTAGGGCCATNACCCTAATTAAAAAAGTTTAAGACTTAGCTAGGTAAATGATACCTCAAACGAAAAAGCAATAACTAAGCATGTTTTTAAAGGTGTCTGAACACCTGTGTGTATTTTATTTATTTTTTTTATTGGCATCAAAGGTCAGATTTTTTATTTTCTTTCTTTTTTGTAAAGTATTAATGCTCTGTACATAACTTTTTTGGACACAATGGTGCTTCAAACTACTTTAGTGCGATTGGGGACACATAAGACTACTAAAATAAATTTAAAAAACCGGACATTTCTGTTGAATCTCGAAGTTATTAGCATTTAATTGACCAATTTTGGATTTTTGTACTAAAAATCGTAAAAGTTCCCTTAAAAATCAAAAACGAGCTAGAAAATAAAAATGTTTGTATGAATATGTTCTACATGGGCTAGTGTATCACCCCCTTAAAGGTTTGCACCCAGCTACCAAACACCCTGAAACACAAAAGACCTGAAAGAACAGCTGCAGCATTCTCAACAAACCAGTACAATGCCATCTACCAACTCCCCTCGACATTCAGTGTTTTCAATGCAGAGCTCTACGCTGTATGGAAAGCCTTGGAATTTGCAAAAAATGAAAAATTACCAAACTCCCTTATCCTTACTGACTCTCACAGCTCCATAATGAGCCTTTCCCAAATCTATCCTCATAATGCAATCCTTCGAATGATAAAAATAGAACTCCAACAACTTCAAATGGGTAAACAGGATATTATATTCCTATGGATTCCATCACACCTCGGCATTAAGGGAAATGAAAAAACTGACCTACTCGCAAAAATGCAACAAAGAGTGAAGTACCATCATGTACGAACATAATTATCCAATCCGATTTCAAAAAAATTGTGAGAAACATTCTGATAAATAGCTGGCAACAACAATGAAACACCAATGTGTCAAAGCTGAAGGAAATGAAGCCGTCAATAAAAAGTGGAAATACATCCCAATGCCTAGGAAACATCATTACCCATGGACATATCATAGACAAAACAGAAGAACCACAGTATGATATTTGCCGGACAAAAATTATTGTAAAACATATTCTCCAAGAATGCCCATTATATTACTAGCAAAGATAGGACAATAACATCCCAGAGGATGTCACTCAGACCGGAGAATGCAGCGAAGCCGAAAATGTGATAAACTTTTTAAAACAAACCAATCTCTTAAACAAAATTTAGAACCGTTACATAGTATCGATGTATCCACTATCAATATGAATGTCTTCAATACCTGTAATAGTTGATGTGATAATAAATGAATCTAATAAAAAAAAATTATAGCCAATATGCTTTCTTTAAAAACACTGAACGCTGAAATCTCCACGGATCCCCTCTTGGAAGAGAGTTATTATGTCAATATTCGTGAAAATTCCAACTCTTCGCTTATATAATCTAGCAGAGTATCCAAAGAGAGGTGGAATAGTGGACTGGATCTAATTCATATTAATCCAGACATATTACGGAAATTTTTGAATACATCACATAAAATTTCATACATTCGATTCCAAATATAAATCTGAATAGTCTCCTAATGTTCCGCAATTGAATAAGGATCATACACATTTGACCCTCTCATAATTATCGTTTCATAATATATCTTTCGCATTCAATTGATCATGAAAATCGGATTTTGATGGTAGCTCAGTCCAATATATTTTGACCAAATCCTCAACAAAACTATTGGCCAAAACTATTTGCCAAATCTTCAACAAAACTGCGTCATCAAAAGAAATTTGTCATCTTTCGAAAATTACTTTGGTGTTTCATACCATAGCTCATCAGACAAGCTTTCCTCTAACTGCTGCAGTAACAACACCATTAAACTAGAGTTCCCACCTCTCCCGGATTTTAGCTCTGAAAATTAAAATCTCCCGGCTCCCGGAAGGAATTTGAAATATACAAAATTCTCCCGGAATAACAAGTTGTGCAAAAGTAACGATGAAAACTCTCTGCCGTTATGCTACGCTAAAAGAAGAATGAGTTGGATATTGTTTTCTCTACAATTTTGGTTTCTTGCTGACTGATGGATTCGGCCAACTTTCCTCCAATGCTTGATAATCTTTCTCAGTATTCTAATAACCAAAATTATCTTTCTTTGGTGAAGGCACGCTACTTGTAACACAGTTATACTATCAATTAGTCCTAAAAATTTGTATACATAATTTTTCTTCTGATATTCTTCCAGATACAATGAGAGGTAACAACACAAAAACATAAAACTCCCAATATCTTCATGCACATGTACACATGAACAATTGACCTAAATAATCACTCTTCGGATTACACGCGTGAGTACAAACCTTCGCACCCGTGAGAAAACCCCAAAAAACATAAAATTGTTTAACCCTTACTGGCATTATGTTATGGCTTCATCCCACTTCAGTTCTATTTCGTCCAAATAAAAATATCAAATCTGCCAACCAGAAGAAACTCTTTTCCCAGAGCTGAGTAAACCTTAAACAAGCAAGAATTTTTTTTTATTTCCCTTATCTTTTCCTTACGTGGCTTCCCGTTACGGCCGATACGATGCCCCCCACCATGGACTTCTCTAAATGCTACCTACCAAGTGAGACATCTCAGCTGGTAGCTCTTCATCGGTTCAACGTTAAACAAGTCCTTGTTGAAATATCCACTTCTTTTCAGCGAGCCTAGCAAACCCCTAAGAGTAGCGGCAAACTACATCAAATTCCACTCAAGAAATATTGTGGAAACTATAAGCTCGAAACGAGATCCAATACAAAGTTGGATCAAAAACCGACGATCAAGAAAACATGGTCCGGTGAGTCTGATTTGCCCTCGAAGAGTCCTTGAGCATAAAATTGGGGTGACGCTCATAATTGTGAAAAACCCATTTTCTGATTGTAATTCAATATCCATGGAACAATTAGCAAGAGGGACAACTACTATGTATCCCTAATAATCAAATGGGTTGCACCCATGATTCGAGGATCGAATGATTGATAAGAAAAATTCCATTATCATTTCATCTAAATGAAAAGCCTATTTTGTTAAAATTTACCTGGATATAATATTCCAACTAATTGATGAAACTTTGATAGGTTTATTTCCAGAACCAACACATTTTTTATTAGAATTGAGACAGAACTTTATTAGTTATTTGATCATGTAGATGGTAATTTTGTAAGTATTTTAAGTTCCAAATATAAAAAAAAATAAATATCTGGTATTCCCGGAGTCCATATCTACTTTGGTCTACTACCTTAAACGAGTAAAGTATTATACGTCCCTTCCGTAGATAGAAGAAGAGGGTGGTTTTTTTAGGGGATTGCCACCCCCACCGGTGGAACACCTAACCGGACGGGGTATTCTATGCTTTCCCTTCTCCGCAAGGCGAGAAGTGGGGTTGTTCTTATTTAGGGGGTGGTTTGTACACCTTCAGATCGAACACCTAACCGAGCGGAGTATTCTACGCCCCCCCGTGCAGGGCGATTTGTCTTCACATTCTTTTCTTTCCTTCAACTACTCTTCACTTTCAATTCCATTATTTACTTCGTATTTTGAATCCTCTACGGTATACTTTCGTTTACCCTTTTTACGTTTTTGCGTTCGGCCCTCATCCTCTTCTTCCCGGTGTCTTCAAATTGATTAGAGTGTACTGTCGTCAGAAAGCAGTGTATTGGATACTTTGTTTTTTCCAATAAGTTGTTGATATACAATAGAAAAGGGGGTTGTAGACAATATGGATCCTTGGGAAACACCAGCGTTAATGGTGAAGTAATTCGAGAGATATCCATCGACGACCACTTGCAGGACACGTTGTTTCAGGAAGCTGGAAAGCCATACACAGAAATGATCCGACAAGCCATATCATCGAAGTTTGGCCAGCAAATCCTCATGCCACCCAGTCAAAGGCCGTAGAAATATCAAGCGCAACAGCTCTTGATTCTTATTCTTCTGGATACAATTTGTGTTGTCCATATATTGTTTGCTTCTTCGGATCCCAAACATCACATCATATCACATTCGCATAAAATATGACGAGCTGTATCTGTCCTTTTGACTGCGACTAAGATCTCCTTCGTACAGTCCTATTGTTTACAGGTATCCTCTGAGTGGAAATCGTCCAGAGAGTAGCCTTGTGATTATTCTGAGCAGAACCTTCCTTTCTTTCGTTTCTCTTCTCAAACGATCCCTGTGTAAAGGATTTTCCGTGTGTGTTCTTGGGTGTGTTTTCCAGTACTCTTCATGTCTCTTATATACTTCTTCCTAATCTGATACCATACCAAAACTCATCAGCTTTTGTGTTGCCCATGATACCGAAGAGTCCTGGCACTGAGTGTATAGTCAATGCATTCTTGTTCGCCAGTTTTTTTAAATCCCCATAGTAAGGCGATTTAAGTCAATCTCGATGTTACTTCTGGGTTCATTAGTGACCTTAGTGAAGCTTGGATGTCTGTGAAAATATCGATCAGCTCAATTATGTTGAGGTCTCTAACTAATGTCCCTTGCGCATTGCAAGACTGCATATATTTCACCATGAAAGACTGATGTCTACTGACCGAATAGTCAGTGGTACTCTATTGAATGCTTGAGTAAGACTCCTTTCATCATTGATCAAATAAAATTGAAATGTGCTTCATTTTTTCTTTCAGATTATGAGACTGAGTAGAGAATCACTGAGTGGGACAGCTGCTGGGCAAGTCGTCAACTTACTCTCAAACGATGTTAATCGGTTTGATTCTGTAGCATTATATCTACATGTTATTTGGGCAATACCTTTTCAAATAGCTTTGTTGACTTATTTTCTTTGGCAACAGGTTCAGCTATCTTGCTTGGTAGGAATAATATCGACGATTTTTGTGAGCTTACCTATTCAAGGTGAGTCTTAGAAATGATAGAGAATGTTCATTAATCATGATCTTTAACAGACATGAAGTGTTATAAAATTATGAAAAATAATCCTTTCCTTTACTGGAATTCCGTAAAAAAAATATAATGATATTCGATATCCCAAAATACATATTCGTTTAGTGCGGACATGAATATTCCTCCTCTTCAAATAGAAAAAAGGGTCTTATGTTTGATAGATATTGTAGTTATCTATCCAACACTTTTCAATTGTTTGAAACTGGATGGGTCATTCCTGAGTTATTAGCAGTTTCAATGAATTTTCAAAATGTTTTAATTCACATCCCGCCAATAATGAAGTCCATTTAGAGATTAATTTCCTACATTATATGTGGAATTGGCCGCGGTGGTATTGCACGCGACTCACGATCGGAAGACCGTGGGTATGATTCTTGCCTCGACCAGATATTTTCCGAGAGAATTCAACTGGTTGAAGCTGAGATGATTCTGCAGCCGTGTTATCTTGCACAAGTTTCTCAACTTGAGAGTTGTTGTTCGTATGGGGGCGACAGTTGATTAACGGAAAAACAGATTTTAAACAGATTTTTAAACAGATTATAAAATACTTCTGGTGTAATATCGTTGCAGGTATGTCTTTTCCTATCCACGCGTTTTGAAATGATCTAAGGTGTTAGATGGCTGTTGCTTCAGGAGTAACCTATCTCATAGGCTGGGAAACTCCGGGACAGAAGCAGCAGCGTGTATCACGGTAATGCGGGGCTTTGTCGTGATTGACCTTCTTTCCCTAGCTACTCGTGGGACTTACATGAGCAGAGTAAACTTAAAAATTCTTTCTGACACTGAGTCTACAGAGGAGATTGATGTCGAGCTTACGACACCAATTGACCTCCCTGTAAACCCACATAGCAATAGATATTCCAGGTATATTTCATTAATATACATTTAAGGATATTGTATTATGCTATGAATATGCCATGGATATGTATGTCTTCTGGAGAATATTCCCTGGAAGTGCTCCTGGCGAACCTTTGATATATTTTAAGAATATTCCTTGGGAATATTCTTGGAATATCTTATAATATTCTTAGAATATCTAAGGTATATTCTATTAAGAATATTCCAGGAATAGAACCCGAGGAATATTCATAAAATATTCAGGATATTCTTAGTTTATTGTAGGAATATACAATAGAGAAACACCATAGAATATTCTTTAAATATATTTTATGAATATTCTAGGAATATTTGGAATATTCCAAGAATGTGACGAGTAACCGCTATTAGGCATGTATATATTGCATTTTGATACAAGATTCACACAAGTAATAAAACACATAATATTCATAAACAAATATATTTTAAAAACAATATACACTGAAATATTTGACGTTTCAACCAATATTAAAAATAAAAAATCTAATTCAAAATATTTATTCACTGAATAAAATATTCCTGAATACTGTCATATTACAAATATTAGAAATGTATTCAAATTAGGATGTTCCTACTCTCAAACAAATGTATACTNATTCTATGAATATTCTAAAGGCATGTATATATTCCAAGAATATTCTATGAATATTTGGAATATATACGTTCGTTTTATGATATACAGGGAATATTCAATGAATATCTAGTGCTGTGTGGGAATTTAGATCAGGAGCGAGAGCTTCTTAAGTCTCCAACTCCTGATCAATAACTGAACCTGAAAAAAAGTTTGGTGGTGCAGCCAGAAAACGACCGAGTCGTTTCCTCAAGTTCCTTATGAAACCGCCTTGCACCAAATTCTAAAGCGGCATACGCAGAATCTTTCTCAGGTGGGAAAACACACCCACCATGAGAAGGTTAGCAAACGTTTGCGTTCAAGTGATGATTCACCAAAATCAGAGGCGAAAACGCCCTGCACGGGTAAATCTAAGGCATCGTAGCTGACGTACAAAAACCTTCATATGGGAAGGTTGTCGCGGTTATGGAAGTGGAAATCTTGCACCTTGACTATACGACTACCTCATTAACGATGAAACAGCAGAGGATTTACTTTGTGCCTGCCCCGTTGGGGACCGAATCAGGTTTTTAGAGTTAGCCACACCCGTACTCTCACCATCTGACCTGGAAGACCACTCACCTCGTTAAGAAGCTGGGTTTACTTGGTCGAGTGTGGATAGGTGTGAGCCACAATGAACCCTTGTGTGTTACGGTGGAGCGTAAAAATAGACTTACTCACTTTCGACCTAATCTAACCTAACCTAACCTGTCTATGTGGAATATGGTAACAGTTTTCTTGAACTACAGGACGTCAAAGTTCATCAATTCGATGTTGGGGTCGAGCCATAGGTTATAGGCTTGATACTTCTATCCGTTATTACTTTCTGCGGTGGCCGGAGGTATGTATGAGTCTGAAGTGTGCTCAATTTTAATATCCTCTGCTTCGCTGCTGCTGACTGGCTTCGATAGAAGACCCACATCGTTCTATTCGTGTCTCCTTCGTCTGCGCCTAGTCGGTTCACATACCACACCGACCACAATCGAACTATGGCTATGCATCTCGCAATGCATAATCACTAGCGTGCTCTCGATTGAGCAAGTCCACGCATCTTGTAAGATAACTTCGTCCTTCTGAATTATTTCAAAGGAACCTATCACTTTAATATGTTGTCTGTGGCCCCTGATATTTCGCTGTATCGCGAAGAGATACTGCGAATATGTCTGTTTTCTGTGACAATCGTATGCTATTGAGGGCTTCATCTGGGTGATGAAACAGGGTATGAGAAGGGTTACTCCTAAAATGATGGTTCTGACCTAATATCCGGACATCTCGCTGTCGTCTGTCTCTCTACTGGGCTAGAGCCCCATCCGTGACTGTTTCTACAATTCACAAAGAAAATCTAAACAAGTTGAATAAATCGTGGCAAAGATATCTCTGCTGAAAAGACATATCAAATATTTCACACTTTCAATTATAGCACAAAAATACAATATACCCAAACAAAAAGGTAAAACACAACACAAAACCACAATTTCAAATCATAGCCCAAAAATTATATAAAATACACAACCAAAAGGCCAGATTTCAAATTGATTTTGCATACGCCTTTAATGAACAATAGCAACTAGTACTCCTAATTGATAATAATTATAATAATGTTTATTTCAACGCTCAAATCAGTTGAACAAATTTGGTGGCTGAATCATCGAAAAAACAACGAATCCGGTGTGAGTTGAGAAAGGCTCAAGAATGAATGATTTAGGCTTCAGAATCGATTTGAAATTGGCATATGCTATGAAGGAAACTTTCAACTGCCTTCCAAAAGTTTCAAATTTCAATATATTTTTATATTTTCTGTTACAAGTCTCACACATTTATCAATTTTGATTTGTGTTGTCAGAATGGTGGTAGAAATGAAGTTGCAATGATCCAACTGATGTCGCAATAATTTGCGTTCTACTAAAAAATACATCACAAAAATACATTATTTTATGCCCAGGAGATGAAATTCGTGATGAAACTAATCTTAATAGATCTCTAATCCAGCAATAGTAGCTATTACCAGATTCATCGGTGATGTTTACATGGCGACCGAGTATCCGCCGTGCATAATAAAGGGGACCAATAATTTCATATTTCAGTTTTTATTATTTCCAAAAGTCTTTTCGAACCCATGAGCTTCGACTGAACAATCATTATATATACCTCCAACATTATTTACATCTCAGAAGGTTCGTTATGATTCTACTTCAGAATTTTTTGATTCGCTGGTCGCAGCACTGAAGTCACCGCCCAAGCGGAGCAGAACCAGTCTTCATTTCTTCATTCATTCAAAGCGATGCTTTCTGTAAGTTTGATGTAGGAAGATCCACTGAGAAGACTATATTTGTTGATGTTTACTCCAATGAACACAACTTTTCCCAGGGTCCAACTTTTGGAAACGTTATTTGCTTCATTACTGAAAACTTCCAGATTTATGTAGATAGAATACCTGAATTAGGTTCCTGAAATTCCTCAGCTTTTGCTGTTATCGTGTCGATAATAGTCCTATATACCTCCTCAAGGTCGGTAGATAGGGCAACAATTTGATTTTGACTGTTGAAAGACTCATTCTCTAATATTTCCTGTGTCCGTCTACCTTTTTTGAGTGCGGATTCTCGCTTTCGACCATGTAGTTAACGATCCTGATGCGCTATTGAAGATGTTTACAACATCTTCAGATTCTGTACAGAAATTTATTATGTGCTCCTGTGTATTCAGGTATAGATTAATCCTATTCTTTTACAATAGTTGTACAATTCCTGAGCTGCACTTGGTGGGGCAGAATCCACTCTGGGTATCTCTGGGACGACACATGGTATCTATACGCCTGAAACTTTTACCGCACCTATCACAGTGAAACATATTTGTAAAAATATTCAGTATACGCCATCTCAAACTGACTCCGATGAGTGAGTGGTTTTTCATATATACCTCAAAAAGGTGATGAGGAAAAAATATTGCATAAGCGCCCTCAAACTCCTAAAGTCTCATCGTCCATGCAGTTGAAGGTCGTTCAAGGTCGAATCCTCAAATCTTCGAAATAACCGCCTTACGTGGTCATACACAAAACACTTCCGCAAAGTAATCTAGGCTACGTTGTGTGGCATAGGTTCAAAACTTCAAAATAGCTGCCTAACTGGTTCAAATTCGTTCGAGGTCAAAATCGCCTTGTCAAAAATATAGGGCGTGAATCGAGGCTATTCTAGATGAAACCCAAAACACTACTTCAAAGTTATCTTGTCTGCGTTGTGTGATGTAGGTCAAAGTCGATGAATGTTAAACTCAAAACACTTCCTCAATGTCATCTTGGCTACGTTGTGTGACGTATGTACAGGTCATGTCAAGGTTGAAAGTGGTGGGTGACGTACCAAACTTGGCTTCAAGCAACAAATCCCAAGGAAGATTGAACAGTTAAATTTTCTCTTGAAGATGATCACTTGGTGATCGAAACACGTGTCGAGGTATCAAAATAACGGTTTGGTGTTGGGAAAAAACTCCAGTAATATTCATTACTACACCAAAGGTCTCCAAACAGTGCATCACAAGGAGGATAACTTCGGTAACTGACGTTGTTTTAGAAGAAATCGATCAAGAAGCCCAGGATGAACAAAAAAAGGTCAAAGTATATACACCACGTCACAAACTTTCAAAACTACTAATTTCACATTCATGATTTTCAACCACCACACAAAATGACAAGCTGGAGCAACAGTGAGCCCTCACAACTAGAGCCACCAACCGGCCGTCACCAGTCCAACAAATATCCTCTAGGATCGAGTCATTGAAGCTGATAAAAAAAGACAGAGAGTGGCAATAGTAGAATACAACCAGTAGGCTCTCTCACCACGTGATCCTCCCATGGTCCCCTCCGGGAACCTTCAACCATTCTTAGGATGAGATTCTCATCCAACGCGTTGTTATTTTTATTTTAAGTTTTTGTAGTTGGTTATAAGTAACTTACCACCAAATCTTGTATAATATCCTTGAATTTCGTTTTTATATGAGCGCACGCCTATGGTGAAATAATCAAATTGGCTCCGCACTTCGTTTCAAGGTCACCAAGAACTGTGAATTTATGAATGAAAGTTGTGGAAGTGGACTTACTGGTTGATTTTTACTATGGTGTGGCAGCGCACCGACACAATCGCATAAGCATGATTTTATTTATCAAGTCATCGAGAGATGACTTGATAAATAAAAATCGAGCATCGAGCGAGGGCACATATTTGGCATCAAGTGGGAATTTGTTGTGAATATTGGAAAGTTGAAGAAGTATTCGATGAAATATTCTCCATCATTCTACAACGTGGATCGGCACATATTTCATAATGTAAGGGATGAGTTCGTTAACATACTTCATTATTATCAAAAAGTGAATGGTGAACAATTCGATAATCATTTGGAATCAACTGTAGTGACTTTCCAATACATTTCCCTTCAAAGCATATTGCAAATCTTCAAAAACAAATATCAAACTGTTAATTACTCAGGAACAGCTGACTTGATTTCCAACAATGGTAAAGTGTTGTAAAAAAAATTTTAATATCTATCAAGACTCACGTTTCCATTTGAAAAAAATTGCTAGCCCTCTCTTGGCGATGAGTGATGCAACACAATTGTCTCTCTTATCAAAAAATATTAAAAAAGTTGAGAAAGGTAGGGAACTATTCATCTCTGCACTGTATAATCAAGCATTATAAAAACATATTTTTATGAGGAAGACGGAAATAGAATTCGACAAAAATCCAGTACATCATATATTATCTTTTGAAATGCATTTCGTAATGCATTTCATTAGTTTGGACTTCCATCATCAAATATGATATAAATTGATTTGAAATCCCTGAGAAAATCTGTAAAAATTAAAAAAGATTATCTAAAAAATAACAATTATACTATTGAAATCTTTTAGTTTTTAATTTTCATTTCTTGTTAATAATTTTCTAATTTCCATAATTTTCATAATAACTAGCAGTGAAATTGTTAATCAATGCAGAGAAAACATTTTGTGACACCAAAATGAAACCGACTTCAACTTCATATCTTAAAAACATCACATATCATCATACAACTATAGTGAATCAATTTGGGCAGCATACAAAGTTTCCTCTTCAATACACCCACTCTGTTCAATCTCTTGAAAGTTGTATTAGGGAACGTCTATTTTTCTGAACTGTGACCTCTGCTAATGGTTTGGTACAAATATCCGCTAACTGCTTATAATTTTCTTACATACAGACATTTTTCTGTAGAGAATTTATCTGGTTGAAGCTGGAATGATTCTGCAACCGTGTTAGGAATCACACGTTGAAAGGTAAGACCTCGTTGATTAACGGAAAAACAGATTTTAAACAGATTTTTTTTAAACTTCTGAATGATTCGGTAACCTGACATTTTCAAAAAATTTATTCGGTATTGATATATCAAAGAAAAATAGACCAATTGAAAATGTACTACGTACATGTGACTTGATTTTTTATACCATTTATGCGGAGCGGTGATTTCACCAAGAAAAAGAAGCCAAAGTTTCATTGAGAAAATAGCCGGCTTAGATTTTATTTTTTTAAAACAGGATTTTCAATCTTCAGTTTTTGGGCTTCACCAATTGAAGGTCTTTGTGGAAGCCGAATCCCAATTTGAAAACAATTATCATTTATATCGACTCCTTATATACCTTATGTATATTGGAATTTACTAACTCCAATAATACATTCATTTTGAAGAACAAAATTATCACCTAAATAAAACCAGGATGAAAAATTTGCTTTGCAATATTCAACAAATGAATTTTATTTCAAAGGGCTGTCAGCTTTGCCGGCATCGAAATTCACAGAATGAGTTTGAAATTGAAAAACGAAATTTCAATTGGAAAGGAAAAAAACCTTCGTCGCCAATGCTGAATTTATAAAAAAATATTTTCAAAATTTGTTTTCCGTTAATCAGCTGTGTCCCCCATACAACGACAACTCTCAGAAGTTGAGAAACTTGTGCGAGCTAAGGACTAACGAGGTTTAACCTTTTAACGTGTAATTCCTAACATGGTTGCAGAATCATCTTAGCTTCAACCGGATAAATTCTCTCGAGAAAAATATCTGGTCGAGGCGGGAATCGAACCCACGATCTTGGTGTGAGCCACAGTAAACCCTTATGAGTTGCGGTGGAGGGTC